GTGTCTATCTTTGAATTTGAGGTGTGTTTTTTGTATGCAGCAGAAAGATGGGTCCTGCTTTCATATCCATTCTGTTAGCCTGTGTCTTTTTATAGGTGAATTCAGTCCATTAATATTAAGGGATATTAATGACCAGTGATTGTTAGTTTCTGTTATATTTTGGTGGTAGTGTGTGCGTACTTCTCTCCTTTGGGTTTTACTGCTGTGGTGTTATCTATTGCCTGTGTTTACGTGGGAGTATCTGACTTTCTGAGATTGGCATTTTCCTTCTAGTGCTTTCTGTAGTGCTGGATTTGTGGATAGGTTTAAATAATACCTATCCAGAAATCTATCACATGTACACACAAACTCACAATCACATACACACAAACATGCAGATTTGTCATATAAAATTTTATAGTCTGTGAAAAGACTGAATTTCTAGAGTCTGTCTGTTTAGGTAACATGGTGACTTCCCAATTCTGCCTCATTTCGTGCTAATGACATCATTTAATATTTCCAGGCTGAGGACAAGTCCATTGTGTGTAAATAAATCCTGTGAGATTTTCCTCTCAATGCCAATGTGTCTAAAAGAAGTCTCAACCCAGTAATCTTATTTGTTTAATTTATCTTTGGTTCTAAGCCTTTTTGAATTATATAGAATGTTTACTTAAACTTCTTTAAAATCTGTGTCTATGGCTTAGTTAAAAATCACTGTTTATATATTTAAGTATAGTAATTGATGGGATAAAACTATCAAAATTCTAAAAAATCATTGCAGATAAAAATAATGAATTTCTGTACAGATGAAAATAAAAATAACAAAATTTTAGCTGAAATCTTTTATTTCCTCACTTTTTGAGTGACATGAATATTGATTCCATATATAGTATATTCTGAATGTTAATGAAATAAACATGATGATACAAGTACTTATTTGCTATCCTGACTAATGTACTTTCAGAAGGTTCCATGAGGGTTATGGATGGACCATTAGATACCCTTATATTTACTGACTGAGTAGCTGTATGTGATTACTACAATATACCTTCTACTCCTCAGCTTCTACTCACCCTAGAAACATTCCCTTTTATTCCCACAACTCCTACATGTTTATTAATTTATTTGTTCATATTTTAACTACCCATTGTTACCATTATGAGAGAATCTTAACAATGGCATTCAACTTTTATAGCCAAAGCAATTGAGTGTACTTTTGTATTCATGTTGTC